TGCCAGTATACAGCATCTGTAAAACCTAAGGCAAAAATCCAGCCACAAAGATCCTGCACAGAGCATTAGCCCTCTGAAAGCAACCAGAAATGACGCCAACTGACTATACTCAACTTCTATCACAGTTAAAGGAACACTAGCCCTCACACATGAAAAAGAATCAATGTAAAATCTCTGGTAATTCCAAAAGCCAGAGTGACCCCTTACCTCCAAATTAACAGACTAGTCCTCTAGCAATGGTTTAAAACCAGGTTGAAATGACTGAAATGACAGACATAGAATTCAGAATCTGGATGGCAAGGAAGATAATTGAGATTGAGCAGAAAGTTGCAACCCAATCCAAGGAATCCACTAAAATGATCCATTTTAGGAGCTGAAAGATGAAATAGCTATTTTAAGAAAGAATGAAACTGAGCTTATGGAATTGAAGAATTCACTTCAAGAATTACTAATTCAGTTTTAGTATCATTAAAGCAGAATTGACCAAGGTGAGTAAAGAACATCAGAGATGGAAGACCAGTTTTTTGAATCAATTCAGTCAGACAAAAATAAAAAAAATTAAAGAAATGCATAAAACCTCCAAAAAATGTGGGATTATGAAAAGAGAACAAATCTATGACTCACTGGCATTACTTAGAGAAAAGGTAGAGAGAATAAGCAACTTGGAAAACAGGGCTAAGGATATAGTTCACAAAAATTTCCCCAATCTCACCAGAGGTGGACATATAAATTCAAGAAAAATAGAGAATCCCTGTGAGATACTATACAAGACAACGATCCCCACGGTACATAGTCATCAGATTCACCAAGATGAACATAGAAAAAGTCTTAAAGGCAGCCAGACAGAGAGGTCAGAAACCTACAAGGGGAACCCAATCATGCTAGCAGCACACCTCTCAGCACAGCATTCTTAAAGAAAAGAAATTCCAACCAAGAATTTCATATTCCACCAAACTAAGCTTCATAAGTGAAGGAGAAATAAAGTCCTTCTCAGACAAACATATGCTGAGGGAGTATGTTTCAACAAGACCAGACTTACAAGAGGTCCTTAAAGGTTCTTAAGATAGAAACAAAATATTAAATCATGAAATCATAAAAACACACAGGTTTACGCACAGGTGTAATCCACCACATCTAGCATCTTTCATCTTTTTGATTAAAAGAGTCTAACAGGGATAAGGTGATTTGTTATGATTTTAATTTGCATTTCCCTGATAAATAGTCAAGATGAGCATGTTCTCATATATCTGCTGGCAATTTTTATGTCTCATTTTGAGAAATGTCACTTTAGGTCTTTTGCCAATTTTTAAAATCAGGCTGTTTGTTTCTTGCTATTTTTCTTTTCTTCTGCTAGTTTTGGGGTGGATTTTTTCAGTTAGATAGGAGAAACAAGTTCTAGTGTCCTACTGCATAGCAAGGTGACTATAGTTAATAATAATGTATTGTTTTAAATATCTCACCACAAAAAATAAGTATGTGATATACTGGATATGTTAATTATCCTGATTTCATAATTCCAAATGTATCAAAACATCACACTGTACCTCATAAATATATAATTATTATTTATCAATTAAGAATAAAAAATAGGCCAGGCATTGTGGCTCACACCTTTAATCCCAGCACTTTGGGAGGCCAAGGAGGATGGATCACGAGGTCAAGAGATAGAGACCATCCTGGCCAACATGGCGAAACCATCTAAATAATACAAAATATTAGCTGGGCATGGTGGCACACACCTGTAGTACGAACTACTTATGAGGCTGAGGAAGGAGAATTGCTTGAACCCAGGAGGCGGAGGTTGCAGTGAGATGGGATTGCCCCACAGTCTTGCCTGGCAAGAGAGCGAGACTCCGTCTCAAAAAAAAAAAAGAATGAAAAATAGAAGCAGGAAAATATTATCCATCATGAGGAGGAACATCAACAAATTGAAACCAATCTATAACTAGTACAGATGTTCAAATTAATATATAAGAACATTAAAACAGTTATAACTGTATTCTATATGTTCAAAACATAGGGATACCAAAGCTCTAGAAAAGACAAAATAATCTAGGAATAAAAACTATAAAAATTACAATATATGCTATGAAAAATATACCAGCACTTTAAAAAACATTATTTTAGACACTGCAGAAAAAAGTATTAGTAAACTCAAAGACACAGCAATGGAAAGTATCCAAAATAATATTTATAGAGGTAGATTAAATAATGAACAGAGCATCAAGTAACCTGTGGAACAACTTCAGGTGGCTCAATATGCATATAAGTGGAATCCTCAAAGCGGGGGGGCTGAGATAGAAACATATTTGCAAAAATAGTGGCTGACAAATTTCCAAATTTGATGAAAACTAGGAACCCACAGCTCCAAGAAGTTCAAAGCAGCACACTATAAAAATCACAAAGAAAACAACAATTCCACATTAGGCAGGAGGTGTAAACTGATCTAGCACTTTGGAAACTTCTGGGCAATCTGGATGAGGGGGACTCCAGCAGCATAGTGTACCAGCTCCACTAAGGAACAATCAGACTGCTTCCGTAAGCAGATCCCTGATTCTGTGCCTTCTGGTTGGATGAGATCTTCCAACAGGGGTCACTAGATACTTCATACAGAAGAGTTCCAGCTGGCATCATGTTGGTGCCCCTCTGGAATGAAGCTTCCAGAGGAGGGAGCAGGCAGCAATCTTTGCTGTTCTGCATCCTTCACTGGTGATATGCAGGTGAACAAGGTCTGGAGTGGACCCCCAGCAAAATGCAGCAAACCTGCAGAAAAGGTGTCGGTTAGAAGAAAAACAAACAGAAATTAATAACAATAACAACATCAACAAAAAAGACTCCACAAAAACCCCATCCAAAGGTCATCAGCCTCAAAGATCAAAGGTAGATAAATCCATGAAGATGAGGAAAAACCAATGCAAAAACACTGAAAATTCTGAAAGCCAGAATGCCTCTTCTCCAAATGATCACAACACTTCTCCAGCAAGGGCACAGAGCAGGGCTGAAACTGTGATAGATGAATTGACAGAAGTGATTTCAGAAAGTAGGTAATAACAAACTTTGCAGAGCTAAAGAAGCTGGTAGGGCTAGGAGAGGGATAGCAGGGGGTGGGGGGATTGGGAAGGGATAACATTAGGATAAACACCTAATGTAGATGACAGGGGGATGGATGCAGCAAACCACCATGGTACTTGTATACCTATGTAACAAACCTGCACAATATAATTTAAAAAAAGTATGTTATAATCCAATGCAAGGAAACTAAGAACCATGATAAAACATTACAGAAGCTGTTAACTAGAATAACCAGTTTAGAGAGAAACATAATGTCCTGATGGAGTTGAAAACACAGCACGAGAACTTCGTGATGCAAACACAAGTATCAATAGCTGAATCACCCAAGCAGAAGAGAGAATATCAGAGTTTGAAGACTATCTTGCTGAAGTAAGGCATGTGGACAAGATTAGAGAAAAAAGAATGAAAAGCAATGAACAAAACCTCTGAGAACTATGGGACTATGTAAAAAGACCAAATCTATAACTGATTTAAATACCTGAAAGAGACAGGGAGAGTGGAACCAAGCTGGAAAACACGCTTCAGGAAACTATCGAGGAGAACTTCACCAACCTAGTAAGACAGGCTGACATTCAAGTTCATGAAATCCAGAGTCCCAGTAAGATACTCCACGAGAAGTTCTACTGCAAGACACACAATCATCAGATTCTCTAAAGCCAAATGAAGGAAAAATGCTAAGGACAGTCAGAAAGGCAAGGTCATCTACAAAGCAAAGCCAGTTAGACTAACAGTAGACCTGTCAACAGAAACGCTACAAGCCAGAAGAGATTGGGGGCCAATATTCAGCATTCTTAAAGGAAAGAATTTCCAACCCAGAATTTCATGTCTGGCCAAACTAAGCTTCATAAGCGAAAAAGAAATAAAATCTTTTTCAAAAAAGCAAATGATGAGGGATTTTTATCACCACCAGGTGTGCGTTGCAAAAGCTCCTGAAGGAAGCATTAAACATGGAAAGGAACAACTATTACCAGCCAGTATAAACACACACTGAGGTACACAGACCAACAACACTATGAAACAACTACATTAGCAAGTATGCAAAATTAACCAGCCAGCATGATGATGACAGGACCTCACAACATACCAATATTAACCTTAAATATAAATGGGCTAAATATCCCAATTAAAAGACATAGAATGGCAAGCTGGATAAAAAGATAAGACCCACTGGTGTGCTGAATTCAAGAGATATCTCACTTACAAAGACATACACAGGCTCAAAATTAAGGGATGGAGGAAAATTTAACAAGGAAATGGAAAGCAGAAGAAAGCAGAGGTTGCAATCCTAGTTTCTGGCAAAATAGACTTTAAATCAACAAAGGACAAAAAAGACAAGGAAAGGCATTACAAAATGGTAAAGGGTTTGATTTAGCAAGAAGAGCTAACTCTCCTAAATATAAATATATAAATACAGGAGCACCCAGATTCATAAAACAAGTTCTTAAAGACCTACTAAGAGACTTAGACCCCCACACAACAATAGTGGTTTGAATAAGGCCCCCCCCAACACAAATTCATAAACTTTCTTAAAATATTATGAGATTTTTTGCATTTTTTATCACCAGTTACCATGGTTAGTGTATTTTATGTGTGGCCCCAAGCAATTCATCTTCCAATGCGGCCCAGGTGAGCCAAAGATTGGACACCCCTGCCAATTAAAATGAATGCACTACAGCCACATACAACAGCATGGATCAATCCCAATGACGTAATTTTGAGCATAAGAAACCAGACACAAATGATTACATACTATATGTTTCCCTTAATGTACAGGTCAAATGCTGACAAATCTAAACAAAAGTATTTCATGATTTAGGCTTAGTGATAAAATTTTAAAGAAAAGTGAGAAGATCATTATCATAAAAGTCATAAAGAATCTCTTTGTGGGAAGTAATAACTGTGAGGGAAAGGATGGAGGCTTCTGGTATGCCGGTCATGTTTTATTTTTTAAAAACTTGAATGGTAGTTACAGGTATGTTTACTTCATAATAATTCAGAGTTGTACATACTTTGTTCTATACACTTTGCCATATGTGTGCTGTATTTTACAATAAAGAGAATAAAAAGGTTGTTCTTTTTCTCCAATTCTATACCTGGCACAGCATAAAATTCAGGGGGTCCTCTGGCTTTTCATAGACTAAGTTTTCAGTAATCTGCTGAGAGAAAGAGCATAAGGCATCACATTATGGCTCTGAGCAAAAGTTATGTGGTCAGGTTATATTTGATGCTATCTTTCCCACTAATCTAACACATACCATAGCTTCTGTTTTTTCAGAGATGGGGTCTCACTCCGTCACCCAAGATGGTATGCAGTGGTACTGTCATAGCTCATACATAGTTCACTGTAGCTTCAAACTGCTGGGCTCAACGGATCCTCCTGCCTCAGCCTCCTGAGTAGCTAGGACTATAGGTGCACACCACTATTTCCAGCTCACTATGGTATTTTGAATAAATTCATGTATTTCTAAAAAGTAACAGCTTACTTTATTATTACTAAGAAAGTTAGGCAAATTAAGGTAAAATTTAGAAGAATAAAAGTTTTATAATAAATAGCAATGGATATTTTTACTGGTTTCCAAGATCAAAGAGATAGTGAGAAGATTTGGAAGAAAATCTTTGTTTTGAGAATTGTGATCTCACTAGATTGTGAAATTAATAAATTATTTCCTTTGAAGAACAGTAAGAGGAAAGCATTTTGAATAAAAAATTTTAAACTGCATAATTTTGCATAGAAAATTGCTTCTGAGGCATTTGATTCGAAATGGTAAAAATGATGTTCAGTACTGCAATATTATGAAAAAGTATACATAAAACTTTAGATTCACTTCCGTTTTTTGTTATTGAATAAATTAAAAATTATAATAAAGCACGATTCTCATTTGCAGAACATAACAATCAGGCAAATTTCAGGATAGAATATTCAGGTCTACTTAAGGCACCAACATCATTCCATTATGTATTTTATATTTATTTCTGTTGAACACATATTTGATTACTATTTTTTCTTACAACAATGTTGCATGCATAAGCATTTTTTTCTTCACAGGTGAAGAAAATTATGAAATAATTAAAACTCTACTGTCTCAACAAGTTTCAGCCTTCAGTTTAATAATTAGTAGTTCCTTCATTAAAGCCAGAAACCTGGCCATTAGTACTCTTCCAACAAAAAGACATTTGAAAAAGGAAAAGACATAGACCAGGGTTAATGAAGCAGACATCATTTATGCTTATTTTATGTAAAGAATCTGAAGTTCACAGAAGTTAAGTAATTTTTCCCAAATCACAAAGATAAGACGTGCAAAGTTAGGATTTGAGTCTTGGGCTCAGCCCTAACTGCAAAAGATTGTAAAATCTGTGCTCTTACCTATATGCTCTACTTAGCTTTAAATTAAAAAAATTTCAGTATAAAGGTTTTCGTTTGAGGTAAGCCATTCTTGTTTTACACCTTTGTTGTATATGTTCATGTACATTGCTGGGGGTAAATAATATTAACATAAAAATAAACACACCAGGCAATAATCTCTTGTGACGTCAAGGGATATCAAAAAGTTCCAGCACCACATCCTGAGGTCAATGAGATTTGTAATTTGAAGAACTAGAAGCAATTTTAAAGTATTTCTTTTCCCCTCTAGAGAATATGGATTCTTAGATGGTCACGAGATTGGTCATCTTTTGAAAGTTTAGTCATGTTCCATATAGGGATGTATTTAAAGATTCTAATGGAGCTGAAAAATTCCTATTGTCCAGTGACGTCGTAGCTGTCTTAACATCATAATGCAAGTCATTACTCACGTGTTTGTGGTGATGCTGGTGTAAACAAACCTATTTTGGTGCCAGTCGTATAAAAATATAGCACACGAAGTATATGTACACTATGTCATACTTGAAAATAGATGACTATCCTGCTGGTTTATGTACTTATTATGTGATTTATTTAGAAAGTACTATGTCTACCTATTTAAAAAAGTTAACTGTAAACCAGCAGGGAAGTTTTTTAGGTGGTATTCCAGAAGAAGGCATTGTTATCACAGGAGATGCAGCTTCATGCATGTTATTGCCTCTGAAGACCTTCCAGTGGGACAAGTTGTGAAGGTGGAAGACAGGGATACTGATGATCCTGACCCTGTGTAGGTGTAGGCTAATGAGTGTATTTGTGTCTTAGTTTTCATAAGAATGTTTAAATAGTAGAAAAATAAAAGTAAAAATAATTAAAAATGGAACCAAGATTATAGAATAAGAATGTAAAGAAAAATATTTTTGTATAGCTATACAATGTATATTTTAAGCTAAGTGTTATTACAAAACAGAAGATTAAAAAATTTTTAAAGTTTATAAAGTAAAAAAGCTACAGTAAGCTAAGGTTATTTTTGAAAAAACAAAAAGTTTAAAAAAATTTAGTGTAGTCTAAGTGTACAATGTTTATAAAGTCTACAGTATTGTGTGGTAACATCCAAGGCCTTTACACTGACTCACCACTCACTCACTGACTTGCTCAGAGCAACTTGCAGGCCTGCAAGCTCCATACATAGTTAAGTACTCCATAAAGGTGTACCATTTTTTATCTTTCATGTGGAAATTTTACTGTATGTTTTCTATGTTTAGATACGTTTAGATACACAAATACTTCCCATTGTGTTACAATTGCCTACAGTATTCATTATAATAATGTACAACACAGGTTTGTGGCCCAGGAGCAATAGGCTATACCATACAGCCTAAGTGTGTGGTAGCCTATATCGTCTAGATTTGTGTTAAGCACACTGATGTTCACACACAAAATCGCCTAATGATGCATGTTTCAGACCTCTCAGAAAATATCCTCGTTATTAAGCAACACGTGACAGTATAACACTTCTGCCTGGATTGCCGTTTTCTCTTCGTTTCAATTGATAATTTTTTCCTTCCTTCCTAGACTGGCTATAAGTTTAACTCTTGGCTAGGTTTTTCCCTATCAGCCAACCTATCTGATCTCTAATTCCTCTGAATGGCTTCATATGATGGTATCATCTGTTTGGTGTTTATTATTTACTACTACTTATGGTACTTACATTTTAATGCACTTATTGTCTTCTCAATTAGAATATATCCCTTTTTACAGAATACACCCTTTCTTGTACCTCTTGAAAAACTTACAATTAAAAAGAGGAATTGAGAGGTTTACCTGGAATATTTGCAGAATGTGGTGTTTTTCCATGTACTGGAGTGAAACTTGATAAGGATCTTCATAAACTATACAAGGGAACCTCCTATAAGCTTGATTGGATGTACGATAACTCTTTCTGTGCTCAGTTTCTGAAAATTCATCCTGAAATTTAAATCCCCCCACCAAAGAGTCCTCAGTAAACCTGAAGGGCCTAGGAATTGTCATTATCAGTGAAATCTGACGTTGATGAGAACTTAACATCAGGAGTTGGAGAAAAGACACATTTTTATGAGAGACTTGGATAATCCTCCAGGCCTCCAGGTGCAATATAATGTACCTCATGTCCTGGGCCATACCCTAGGCATTACCAATCTACTTCAAGTACTTTTTCCTTCATAGGGATCTCTAATTGACTCAAATTCCCTTCTCCTGGTAGAAGCCCAGAGAGGGAGAATGACAGTATCACAGACTTAGTTGCAGAACCAGGACTTAAAATGCAGGTTTCCTGAATCCTGGTTTAGTAATCCTTCCTGAATGGCCTTTGGGTGGTAGAGAAGGACATACTTTTCTTTTATTTCCCATCCTTCTCATGCCCTTTCTGAAATTATGGGTCATACATACCATAACATGTGGGTTTATTCTTTATCCTTGAAGCAATATGTGCCCTTCCATCGTTTACCCCTGTTTCTACTCCCCAGGCCCCATCTTGATCTCTGATCTCCCAGGTAGTTTCAAATGCCCATTTAACTTACAGATTTGGTTACTAAGGCTTGAGCTTTTTCTTGACTGCTGATATAGTTCAATTTGGATGAAATGGAGGGGAGTCTTTGGAAATGGGCTTGGTCTTTTGCTTGGAAATTACTGGTGAATCTGGCATCAACTGGGTTGCAGGCTGGGATAGTGGTTGCATGTTGAGTTTCCATTTCAGCTGAAAGCTTGGACTTGGGGTCTACTTGGCTATCCTCAAATTTGCAGGGTTGTACTCTGCAGTCAGCCTCTTTGTGTTCCTTGCCATTACCTAACAGGGGAAATGTTCTGCCTTCAGACTGGCCACGTGTTCCATAGTAAGACAATTGGACTTTGTGATTAGTTTGTCTGTCTGCTAAGTGGTCAATCTGGTAAGATTCGCTGTAGTCAGCCTTGTCAACTGGAAATTGATCAGCATTACTATGAGCTTGGTCAATAGCCTGGTGCTCAGCTATTTCAGTGGCTTGGCCATACACTTGGTGGTGAGTCTTTACAGATGTTTTGTGGTCAGCCAGGCCATACAATCTGAAGTCAGTCTCCTCAGAAGTTCCTTGGTCAGCCAGGCCAGTCGATCTGTGGTGAATCTTCACAGAAGTTCTTCTCTCAACTTTGCCTGACATTCTTCGGTCAATCTGTACAGAAGGTCTTTGGTCAGATGGCATGGACGATCCACTGTCAATCTGTCCAGAAGTTCTTCCCTCAGATGGGCTTAATAATCTGCGGGGAATCTTCTCAGAAGTTCTTTGCTCAGCCTGGCCAGACATTCTGCGGTCCATCTGCTCAGAAGCTCTTCTCTCAGACTGGCCTGCCATTTTGTTGTGGGTCTGTTCAGAACCTCTTTGGTTAGACTGTATAGATAATCTACCACCAGTCTGCTCAGAAGTTTTTCTCTCAGCCTGGCCTGACATTCTGCGGTCAATCTGTCTGGAACCTCTCCGGTCAGATGGCATAGACAGTTCACTATCAATCTGCTCAGAAGGTCTTCTTTCAGCCTGGCTAGGTAATCTTCGTTCAATCTGTTCAGCCGTTCTTTCCTCAGTCAGGCCAGACACCTGGCCATCACTCTGTTCAGACTGTACATTATTAGGTTGGCTAGATGCCTTGCCTTCAGTCTGTTCAGATGGTGTTTGGTCAACCTGATCATATGCTCTAAGGTCAGAAGCATTAACAGGGTTGGAGACTTTGCCGCCAGGCATAGTACCAGGTGTACTATGCCCATTTTGTTTAGCTACTCCATTGGTAGGTTGGCTAAATATGTTGGATTCAGCCTGGCTAGGCACTCTTAGGACAGTCTGGCCAGCTATTCTGTGAGCATTTTGGTTATCTGCCTTCCTTTTGGCCTGGTTCTTCTGGTCGTCTTCTTTCTGGCCATTAGTATGTCCAGCAGTTGAGGGAGCGGCTGGAATTTCATGTTCCAAGGGTTTAGCCAGAGCCTCTTGTGGAGGCTCTTCCATTTCCTGCTGCGTCCTTGGCTGGTCTAGGTTGCCAGGCGCTGTGGGTGGGGCTGGGCAGGGTCGTCTAGGCGACAGGATTCCAACAGGCTTTGTTCCGACCTTCCCGCACATCCCGCACGTCCCGCAGAGTGGCCGCCCCGCTGCTGTGAGGGGAGGGACGGTTGTCAGCTGACACTGCAGCGCGCAGGCGAACGCAGGGACGAAGCCACCTCCTGAGAAGAGGCGATTCCCAGGCTCTGGCAGCTAGAGCTTCTCCTCCGTTCCGGAGCGAGCAGGCCACAGGCTCCATGCAACGCTGCCTAGGGCATTACCCTCTTCCTTGTTCGCGGGGGTTCTCAGCAGTGTGTGAGAAAGAGGCCCTCTTGCAGGTACTGCTCCTCTGATTAGCATCCCCCACTGCACCCGCAAATGTTAACAGATGAACATGTGACCAGCTGCACGAGGACCATGAACCTGAACCGAGGTTGCTGCTGTTGTCAATAACTCAGATTCACACTTTGGTACTGAGTTTGTCTCTCATCCCAGATGTAAGCACAGCATGATGTTAGACTGGGCACTGTGCTAGTAAATAGTCTTGCTAAATATTATTCTTCTTTAGACTCTATTCGGTGTTGAGGTGACATAACCATATTATATTCTTTTACATTTTTCAGTACTGTTTTTACAGTGGTAGTGCTGTTTTCAGTAGCACCAAGAAGAGTTTAGTCTTACTAACACTCATGCTATTAAAATCTTAGGGATCTGCCCTCACAAGAAAAGAGTGTAAAGAAGAGTTTTGCTCTCCACCACCCCCTCCCCGTACCCCTTGGCAGTTTATTCCTGCAGGAGCCTCCTCCCCCATCTCGAAGGACAGGCCAGCAGTTATTTTCCATCTCCTCTGGGTATAGCTGTCTTGGCAGTGGAAACTCAAGCTCCAAGGTGTTTTCTTTCTGAATTAGACATGTGATCCATGTGAGCCAGAGAGAGGAGAGACGATCCAGTGAGAATGGGTTCTAAAATTGCACCATCTAGTGGTCCTACAGCAGAGAGGAGAGTTAGGAGGAGGCCAAACCAGGGTTCAGAAAGGAAGGGAGTAAGGAAAGTGGGAGAAAGATACCAGAAGGAATATTTAACAAGTGGAGAATTTGTATTTGATGGGTCAGTGTGGCCCAGGTTTTGAGATTTGGCCCTCCCCTTTTGCAATAAACCTTAAGAACGCACCTCAGAGTCAGTAGGCTATCTACTTTCGGGAGTAGGCCAGTACAGAGGTGGTCGTTGATGAGATGTATTACTTTGACCTTGCAAAGCCTAAAATTACTGAGGCAGGCCAAGGGTTGGTAGTGTGATACCAGATATTCCTTTAGTAGGGATTTAATTGCATTAAACAATTAGAAATGAGACTTAAAATCCAAATGCAAACACTTGTGATCAAAGTGTGACAGGGAGAGTGAATCCAATGGATGCCATACTTAGGAATGGAAAGGGGAATCTAAGCACGCTGAAGTAAAATCATCTATGTAACAGTGCCTAGAACATAGTAGGTGTTCAATAAGTGTTCATTGAATGTAATTTTATGAATTATCTACCTTAGTTATTTAAAAATGCATAACACCCTTGGATACTGTGTTTAGAATAAAATAGGTGTTGGGCTATGGCTTGTAGCTTTAAAGGTTATTGGTTTTGTGAATTTATTTTTGCATTTTATAACTTAAATGTAATCATTGTAGAAATATAAAAAAGAAAGCATAAAGAAAAAATTACCCAAACACTCAAGAGATAACCTTTATTGACATTTTGATGTGTATCCTTCTGGAATTACCCCCATGCAAATCTGTGTCTATATCTACATGTATGTATATAGATTTTACAAAATGATGATTTATTAATTAGAGATCTTTATTCTTTTTAATGTGGCTGTTTTATAGTTATAAATTTCCCTCTGAGCTGATGCTTTTGTGGCATCTCACAAGTTTTTGGTGTTATTTTTTCATTAATCTCAAGATACTTTCTCAGTGACTTTTTTTCTTTGATGCATTGGTTGTTTAAAAGTATATTAATTTCCAAATATGTATGAATTTTCTAGTTTTCCTTTCCTGCTCTTATTGATTTCTAAGTTCATTTTGCTGTGTTCAGAGAATATGCTTTGTATGATTTCAATCTTTTAAAATATATTAAGCCTTGTTTAGTGGCCTACCTATGGTTAATCCTGGAGAATATTCCATGGAAAGAATGTGTATTTGCTATTGTTGGATGGAATGTTCTTCATATGTGTTAAGTCTAATCAGTTGATAGTGTTCAAGTCCTGTATTTTCTTTCTGGTCTTCTGTCTAGATGTTCTATTCATTATTGAAAGTGGGAAACACAAAAAATTAGTTGGATGTGGTGGCATGGACCTGTGGTTCCAGCTATTCGGTGGGCTGAGATGGGAGGATTGCTGGGCTCAGGATGTTTAGGCTATCTGAGCTGTGATTGTGCCACTGCTCTCCAGCCTGGGTGACAGAGTGACACCTTATCTCAAAAAAAAAAAAAAAGTGGGATATTAAAATCTTCAACTATTATTGTAGAACTGTCTGCTTTTCCCGTCAAATCTGTCAATATTTGCTTCATATAATCAGAGCTTGTTGTTTTCTACAAATAATTATTTTCTATAAATATTATAAACAAGAAAAAATGAAGTCTTCCTGTTTGACTCTTTTATCAATATATAATATACTTCTTTGTGTCTCACAACAGTTTTTGACTTAAAGTCTATTTTGTCTGATATTAGTATAACAGTTCCAGCTCTTTTGGTTATTATTTGCATGGAATATCTTTTCCATAGTTTTATTTTCAACTTATCATGTCTTTGAAACTAAAAATAATCTCTCACTATATAGTTGGATCACATTTTTAAAAAATCTATTCTGCCTATCTGTGTCTTTTCATTGGAAAGCTTAATCCATCTATATTTAAAGTAATTACTGATATGAAAGGACTTACTTCTATCATTTTGCTGTTTATTTTTATGTGTTATATCTTTTTTGTTCCTCAGTTCTTCCATTACTGCCTTCCTTTGTGTTTAATTGATTTTTTTTTATAGTGTACCAAGCTGATTCCTTTCTCATTCCTTTTCTGTATATATATATTTAGTTATTGTCTTGGTGGTTACTTGGGGATTACAATTAACTTCCTAAACTTATAAACTATTTTGAATTAAAACCATCCTAGCTTCAGTAGTATACAAAACTCTGCTTTTATATAACACTTGTCTATCTCTCCTTTTTGTGTTATTATTGTCACAAATAGCATCTTTGTACATTGTGTGCCTATTAAGATATATTTATTATAATTATTTTATACATCTGTCATTTAAATCGTATATAAATAGAAGCTCAAATCAAAAATACAATGCTGGATATTAAATTACCTATATAGGTACCCAAACCAGTATTCTTTATTTCTTCATGTGGCTTCAAGTTACTATATCTTTTATCTCTACTTGATGATATTCCTTTAGAATTTCTTGTATGGCAGGACTACTATTGATGAACTGCTTAGGATTTGTTTATCTGGGAATGTTTTAATTTCTTCTTTATTTCTGAGAGGTAGTTTTGCTGAATGTAGAATTTCTGGTTTATGGTGTATATTTTCAACTGTAAATATGTTGTCTCACCGCTTCCTCACTTCCATGAATTCTGCTGAGAAATTGCCTGTTAATCTTCAGGTTCTTTATATGTAAGGAGTCACTTCTCTTTTGCTGCTTTCAAAATTTTCTCTTTCAAAAAGTTTTTCTTTTTTGGAAGTTTTATTGTCATTTATCAGTGTGGGTCTTTTTGTGTTATACTTTTGGCGTTTGTTGAGCTTCCTCAACAAATGCCAAAAGAATAACACAAAAAGATGTTGTGTACACTCATTTCATTTATCAAATTTGTAACATTTTCAGCTATTACTTCATATATATATTTTTTTTCTTTCTCTTTCTCTCTCTCCTCTTTTAATGGAGTTTCCACCATGCATAAGCGGTACACTTAAGTGTGTCTTTAAGGTTTCTGAGGCTCTGTACATTTTTCTTCATTCTTTTGCCTTCTTTTCAGGCTGAATAATTTCAATTGACCTATCTTTCCTTAGCTCTTTGAACATTTTTAAGACAGTTGATTTAGTTTTGGTCCATTATCTGTGCTTTTTTAGTAGCAGTTTATTTTAATTTCTCCTGGTGATACTTTCTTGATTCTTTACATACTTCATAATAAAAAAGTAACAGGTAAAATCTGGACATTTTGTATATTACATATATCCTTCCCTGGGCATGCATGTACTTTTCCGGATGTCCAATACATGCAGAAACTTTTTGATACACTTATTATTCAAATAATCTCTCTCCTCAGGTTTTCTTCCCAAGCTTTTAGTGTGTCCATTATTTACCATGATTTTAGTCTTTTTACCCAGATGTCATCAGGTTGCCTTTCAATGTTGTTGAGAAATGCCCTCTTTATAGCCACTTTTCCATCCTGAGAGAGTTCTGTTGATGAATACTTAGGTTGTTTCCATACCTTGGCTATTTATTCACAATAATACTGAAATAAACACAGCAGTTTTGATATTTAAGTCTTTCTGAGAATTTGTCCATTTGTATTAGATAATATATATCTATAATAGATATATAGATATTAGAAATATATATTAGATATTTTATCTAATATATGTAATGTGTTAGATAATATAGATAACCTATATGGTAATGTCCCTTTTTTCATTACTGAATGTAGTCATTTTTTTCCATGTGGTCAGTCAGTTAAAAGCTTGTCAATTTGTTGATATTTTAAAAAAGACAGCTTTAAACTTTTTTCTGTCATTTTAATATTCTCCATTATATTAATGTCTCTCTAATCTTTATTATTTCATTCCTTCTGCTTGGTGTGGGTATAGTTTGCTTCTTCCTTATAGTTTTTTAAGGTGAAAAATTAGGTTACTGATTTGGGCCCTTTGTGATTTTTAAAATATAGCCCTTTATAGCAATAACTTTTGTCTGACAGTAGTGTAGC